TGCCTCCAACAAATATTACGCACGGAAGTAAGGTCAGCAAGGGATTAATCTCACATGCTGAGCACTGGTCTCAAGGAGGAGTCTAAAGTAACACGGCCATAATTAGGCCCGGGCTGGGAATAAAGCTTTCTGTGTTTCACCAGAGAAACGTTTGCACTGGGGCTCTGGAATTCAGGCTGCATTTTTTTTTTGTGAGGAGACTGACAATTTAGCCAGATAATGTGAGAAACCTTATAAGACACAGTGAGCCATGGGCGTGGTGTCTGTTTAGCGTGGACTTGGAGGAATGCTACATTACAAGATGGCTGATTCAGCAGAAAGGAGAACAGCTGATGTCTTCGTTATGGTGTTAATCTTGGTTATGGTCTCCTGTGATCTTTATCTCCTGTCATGATGGTCAGCCCCCCCCCGTAAACCAGGCACTTTGCGGTCAGCTCTTAGGTCCATAAATGAGACAAACAAAAAAATGTGTGTAGAGTCTCGTAAGCAATAAACACTGTTAAACTGCATGTAGAATAAACACAGATTTCAGCACACTCTCCACGTGGAGGACAACAGCAGCTTGAAGGACAGTGATTTGTTTCACCATGACTAAAAGTGGGGGCGGCTTACTACACACTGCTATGGCCTTGTATCGCTGCGTGTTTTTGGGTTCAAATCCCACTCCTGGCTCCGGGTGCAAAATTTGCATATTTTGAGTGGGCTTCTCTCAAGGCAGTCTGCTTTCAAGCTCACCGCGACCCTACAGTGGGTAAATGATCATGAAACACGGATGGATGGGTGGAAGGTGGCACCTCCGCATGTGTCGTCACTATCCCCAGGACTGACATCCGATTCTTCAGAACAGATCCTGGTAAGGAGGTGGATAGCTTAAACACATTCAGTAAAGGCCATTATAGCTGCCTGGGGGAGGCTGGCATCATAGCCAAACAGAGTTTAAAACTCAATGTTTCATTAACCAAGGGGAACACAAAGGCTAGATCTCCTGTTTGTTTGAAAATGCTATATCCCATGTTAGTATAGTATGGTATAGTACAGTATAGTGTGGTTTAGTATAGCACAGTAAAGTACAGTATAGTATATTGTATTGTAGCGTAGTATAGTATAGTATAATATAGTGTAGTGTAGTGTAGTGTAGTAATTATCTGCATGGTGTCACATAGCATAGTAATTTTCTGTATAGTATAGCATGGGATAGTAATTACTTGTATGATATGGTATAGTATGGTTTAGTACAGACTACACCTGAAATTTATTCACATATTTATTAATTTGTTTGTTTGTTTGTTTGTATGTGAGAGTCACTGCAAGTCACACAGTGGTCTGTAAGTAGAAGGCAGTCTGTATAGCAATTTAATGACCTATAGTATAGTATAGTACAGTACACTCATTATGGAGGCAGCCACTAAATTTTGTCATACTTGTGTGATCCACTGGCACAATGACAAATAAAAATTCTTGTGCTGCTGACCTGAATCCTGTTGGCTGACAAGGTTTGGTCCATGGCTCATGGGTGTCTATGTCCCTCAGAATAGGACCAATATCTGACACTTTCTTTGAAAGCAATAAAGCAACTGGAAACATGTGAACAACTATTTTAAGGACTTCAGTCTCACAAGGACACCATGCCTCTTCCTCCAGACCCAGTTTGCCGTCACCGTGAGCTTGGAGTCGTCTTTCGACGAGCGAACATCTTTGATGCACCCGGAGAATCATGTACCCTGTCTCCACCCCCCACCCCCACCCCAGGCCAAGACAGCCAGGGCAAGACAGCCAGGGCAAAGAGGAAAAGGGCAAGACAGAAACGTAAGAGAAAGATTAAAATTGCAGATTGGTGGTGATAGAAGGAAATGGTGATTCTCATATTTTAATGGTGGTGAATTATGGCATTGTCCTTGAGGACAGTGCTCTCACAGCTAGCCGGTGTGTGGGAGGCAGGCCGCATGCAGGCCCATCTCCGCACTCCGCGGCTTCCCACTCGCTGTCGGCCCGCCGAAATGTCAGCTTTTGGACCGACTTCTGTTGATGTGAAGTCATCCGGGATACTTTCCTTTAAAACTTCGTCATGAGTTTTTAAAATATGGCTTGAAAAAAAAAAAAACTAGACATGTCCCATGAGATAACTTTTAAAGGATGGCGCAAACTCCAGCGTGCATGAGTTTACTCGCAGTCGGTGGGAGGAAACGCTTATCACTTGCTTCATAAAACAAAGATTTTAAAACGTATATAAATCTCAGTTTAAAGGGCCACCCCCCTTACATTCACAGCAAGTAAGGTCAGATATTGATAGAACATTATCAGCTAGCTTAGCACCCCTAGTGAGAATGGCCTTTTATTTCATTCTCCTCATCCCTTCAGGAAATGTCAGCTTCTACTGTCACAAATCAAGTTAAATGGACCGGACGGGGAAACCACCTCAGCGTTTCTGCTTGGGATGGGAGCCTGCGACCATCTGCTCATGTGACTGGCTAAATACTTGCCGGAGAAGAATTCAGATTTAATCTAAAGTGGCTTACACAGTCCCACACAAACACTTTCCCCATATTTCGAGTGACCCGATTCAGTTTTGTCAAGGGTTCAGGAACAAAAACCCTTCTGGAACGTGAACCAGTTGTCTACTGGTTATAGTCCAGGTCACTCAGCTACCTGCCTCCAAAGGTTGTAAGTGCCTTTCAGGGGCTGCTGTAACTGCACTCCTTCTTCTGCCTGCACCCCCCCCCCCCCCCCCGCCCCCCCCCCCCCCCCCCCCCCCCCCGAGCTCCACCTCAGCCTCCTCCAACCTCTGATTGCCTCTAGGCTGAGACTCTGACTTTCCCGTCCTGCTCCCTTTGATGTAAGTCTCCACGGGCACCAGTGCTGTTGTAATGGTAAAATTAGTGGCACTGGGAATTAGATAAAAAAAAAAACTCCTCCTGAGGAAGGGGGGGGGGGGGTGGGCTTTTGTCACAGAACTACTTTTCAGCCTGTTGTTTCTAACAACAAATAATTTCCCTGGTAAACCATCAAACAGAGGACCAACCAGGAAGGTCCGCTCTTATTCCTAAGGAGAAATTCACTGAGCGGATAGAGCAGTAATAGAGCACGGATACAGTGAGACATTCAAAACTGCAATAACCTCACACTTGCCAGGGTTTCACGCACGCCACCTTCCCACAAGGTTGTGATGTGAGCTGAGTGCTTTAGGCTGAAAAGCCCTCGTCGAGCGGGGAGCTGACCAGAGTAACGCTAAGCGGATGCGCGGCATGACCTGTCCTTTTTCCAGGGAGCTGCAGACAAGTAGAGACCAGATTCACTCCTCCTCGCCGCCCCCAGTGCACATTCTCCTGCTCGGCTTTTGATCTCAGAGCCTACAGGTGAATCATCAAAGTATTCCGCAGTTCCGCTTTAAGACGTCCGGAATATTTACCGCCACCCCGACGTGAACTTTGCCGAGGAACACCACTTCCACCCCGTTAACCACTTGTCCCCTCTCTTGGCCCATTCTGCTCTCCAGAAACCAACTTCTAAAACTCGTGTTTATCTCCCAGTTCTCGTAAGATGCAGCAGAGCTTTCTCAACTGGCTTTGAGGTGGCCCATCGTGGGATAGATGCCACCAGAGGTACGTGCTAGACTGAAGACTGAGGGCAAACGTTTACTTAGAGGTGCCTGTTAACAGCATCTTCCTGATGGTGATGGAGTGTTGACGTTTCCCTACTTGTGTACAGTTTCAGGGGCCATCTATGCTACGTCAGCACAAGCAGGCATGGGAATTACACCCGGCGTGGAGTTAGCGTGTGGTCTAATTCATCAGGGTAATTAAAGGCTGCAGCACGGAATATACTTTAAAATGTTATTTAAATGAAGAGAAAACAACACGCCATGCTCTCATTTAGGCAGGGCTACACGCTGTAATTAAAGAGGTGCACTGTGTATTACGGGCAACTGCACAGCTGCGATTTCCCTGACCTCCATGATGGGTCTTTCTTCTCCAGCGTTTGATCCAGGACTAAACAAATTCAGTCAATGTACTACCATGACGTGCTGCCTATAACAGAGCCCGAAACAACACTGGCTTCAGCCTAAATCTTTTTTAATCTAAAGGAAAAATACTTTCAGAACTAGAATCATTTGATCACTCTCTCTCGTTTTTTTTTGAATGCTAAAGAATTGATACAACAACAACTCCCCCATCTGAGGTCACTTTGGGAAACCAGATATTGGGGGGAGTCATATCAACAGAGAACCATGGGAAATCAGGTAATACTTAAGGCTTTGAAATTGTTTTCAGGTTTCCACAGGCAAACCCTTTCAACTGCTTAAATAATGCACACATATTAAAAAAAAAAAACCCTGACTGACAGTCGGAGCCTGCATATCGTTACACCGATGGTACTCAGGGCCTGAACTCTAACCTCTGACCCGTACAGCCTCTGAGTGCTGTTGACATTGCCTTGTGAACCACAGAGACCCGCACGATTCTAATCTGCACAGGAAGTCTCTAGAGGAAGAAAGACAGCTCCATTAAGGGCAAAATCCGCACAAATAAATGTGCAGATCAAAGGCAGAGATAAGAGGCACCCGCAAGCCGGGGCTCAGCTGTCAGTAGGTGCAAGGGATAAGAAACAAGGTAACAGGTAATATCCGTAACTGTCACAAACTCCTAATTTATAACTAATCAGCTCGCCGGAAAAGTCATGCGGCAACACAGCACAACTCCCCCCTCGCTGCCCAGAAGCAGGATTTGTAATTTTGACTCATGACGACACAAAGGCGGTAATGTGGTCTCCGATTCACGGCAGCGAGTCCCCTTTAATCCCATAAATGGATCACGCAGGTAAGATTACAGGTAGCGGTGCACTCTGGTAGCATAACCCAGGTGCCACTTTCCCGCTGCCAAAATAGCTTCAAATGATGTTATCACTGCCACACGATGACACCACTGCGAAGCCAGGGGTCCCACTTGAAGGCCTCACAATAAAACGCTAGTCCTAATAACCCCCCCCCCCCCCACAAGAAATACCTTCACTTTCGTATGCATCATGCAACGTCGGCCTCGTGTCCGCTTGCCGGGAAGCAGCTGGCTCCGCCCCCGCCCGTGAGGGTGCGCTGTTCAGACCGCACGGCATTCAAACAGGCCCGGGCATCATCCGACTCTCGATGATCTCACCCATATCAAAGCTGAAATGAAGCCTGCTGTGGAGAAACACAGAGAAGGTTATTTATGTGAATGCTCTCCCACAAGGTACAGCACTCTGATAATTTATGGGATACTGTAATACACCCCTATAGACACATTTTTATCATGCTTTTCTGTACACACAGATATTTCTGGAAATGACTCCATTTTCCAGTTTTACAAGCCTGGCATATATTAAATAAAGAATAAACTACGAAAAAAAGTGTTGATAGACGAAGATGGTACTATGAAGTTAAATGGATGAATGGCTTGTAAACTTTAAAGAGGTTTTAATGGGAGTTCCCGGCTTTATGAGCTCAGACGGTCCAAGGCTCTCATCAAGCAGCTTTTTAAATCCTTCATAATTAAAAGTGCCATCGGGGCTAATGGGGTGCCGACCTCTCAAAGCTGACCGGCAAGTTTGCGAGGACGAGGAAGCAATCCTTCCTGTGGGAGTCCATGAGCCGTCCGCGGTCTCAAGGCGGCAAAGGAAACGGCGAAAGACTTTGCACAAGGAAAAAAAAAAAATCGCCGTCCTATGTGACACGTCCGCGCATCCTCCGCGCCAGGACGTCCCTCACGTCTGGATAAACGCGATTGCTGAGAATCAGGTCTCGCATGCGCTCCGCCTGGCCCAGAACGAGCTCATCCGCCCGGTGCGGCAAGTAACAAACCTGATTTTGTGGTCGGGCAGGTAGGTATCAACTGAGGCATACCCGTCTCAGAAAGAGTCCTGCCACTCAGAGAGAAGACCCCAGATTGTTATCTGCAGCGACTGTAGAGGAGCTACAGCGAGGGCCGGGGAGAACAAGTACCAGGAACAACCAAACACCGTGTCACGCTGAAGGGCTTCCCTTGACACTTCCAGGCTGAGGCGGCCGCCGGGCCGAGCTCGTGGGCTCCGTGCCGATAAGCCGGCACGCTCTTCAAAAGGCTCTTTAGCACATTTGAGAAGGTCCAGCCAGGATGCCTGTCATCACCCCCTGGCACTGACCCTCCCCCCCGAATTTGACACAAGAGAATAATGTAAGCGTTTTTAAGGCAAATCCTTTCTTATAATCACAAGCTCCTGAGAGATAAACCGTCCAGCTGTGGGATTCCTGCAATGTGGGATCCTTTTAAAACAAACACCTAAAGCGCGCACACACACAGACACACACACAGGGCCTTAAGCGTACGTCTTTACTGTGTTAACCTGGGAGATCCATCATGCAGTGCCTGCCGACAGGACTTCAGACAAAGACAAAGTTAACCTGACTGCTTGACAAAACATGAATGCAGCAAGCAAACACAAGTATTGTGGGGGTGGGATAGGACCCATCTTAGCAGCCCCCTGTTTAAAACAAAATGAGGGGGGTAAACAATATGAGAGTCAATCAGCAGGCGCAGTGTGATCGCAGAAAGAAACCTCGAGACTAAAATCCTGGATCCATACTCTCTGAAACTAAGGGTTCATCGAGTTTTGCACTATAGCATGAAGAACTCATCAAAATTTCCCAGTTTGTCAGTTAAATTTACGTACTAAACAAAAATCAAATAATTTAAATGACATTAAGGCTTGGCAGACGACTTGTGTGATGTTACATATCATTAACGTTTCATAGTTACACAGAAGAGTGTTACAGGTACTGCAAAACAACACTAAAGTCAGAACTAAGACCAGCTACACCCAGGTAATCACTGAAACATACTGGTGAAGTGCCTGATTTAAACACTCGGTTACCACCATCGGCAAAAACGTTGAACCTGTAACCTTCTGTTCACTATTTCAATTTCTGAACAGGTTTTCCTACATAATACATTTTCATAAGCATGTAATTGTACCAGTGCAATAATCACGCAAATGTAAAGCTACAACGATTAATATTTTAAAACATCGTATAAATTAATTGCTTAAAACTTTAAATAAATGTATGAAATCATAGAGAAGCAATAAAAATTAACAACAAAACAATATGACAATTTGTTTCTCATATAAATCTAATCTTCATGAAAATTTAACCAGACGGTCATATAAATGTTAATAAAGTTAATGTGTGTGTCACTTATCTGACAGCATAACCTGGTAGGGAAAGTACCAGAAGACAAGGCCATCTTCAAGGTGTAATAAGGTTTCCTTGACCCAACGTGCTTAGAAAAGTAAAGACTAGAAAAGCAGCAATACATTCATGATTTGGTGATGGAAAAAGGGGGTTTTCTTTATATCAGCTGCTGCGGCCACATCAAGCAGCATGAGTGTGCCAAGGCCCCCCGGCCGCTCACATCAACAGTTTAGCATTGTGGAGACTGTGATCCTGCGACCTTCGACCCTGGAATTAACCTACAGAGCGAGCCTCGAACGTTGACCCTTTTTGTCCATTCAGGAGCCTGTTCCCATGAGAAAGTGTTGATTGGTGGAATCACGGCGGTCCGGGCCGGCTAACACAGAGCAGCTGTTTGTTTCCGACAGACAGAGGCGAGCCGCTTCAGATCGTCACGACAGAAACGGCCCTCGTCGGCATCCGGGTGCCTGACCCTGCCAGACCGGCAGATCACAGGTCCATTCTTTACGGTACCAAAATATCTCAGAATAAATGGAAACAGCTTCCACATTCACACCAGTGCCTGCGGGCAGGAGTAGCTCCCGGAGCCGTGAGCCATGTGGCTCCTTCTAACGTTAAGGTCATTATTAAAATACATCTAATTGATCGTAAAACTGCTTTACATTTGTCGATGGCAAAGAAAAATGTTGTTTTAATTGGTCTTTTTCATGATTAGTACAAGCAACTTCAAAACCACAATTAATTTAAAATGGCTTTTTTTAAGAAAAACATGCAGTATGCCTTGTGATTTTATGACACTGGGGTTATGTTTGCGTTAATGTTAATAAATAAACAACATAATTGTCATCAATTTAATTTTCTGATGGCCTTCACTATAATCTACAAAATAACTGTGTAATTCGGCCTAGAAAATGTCTATGAATGTATTCCCAATGCATCTTCTGAACAAAATCTGCATTATTTTGGATGTGACCTTTCATCCTTACAAAATAATACTTCTCTGTCACCAACACCACAGCTGCTTCAGTTGAACTTTTAACATTTCTCGTCTTATTCCTGACCTCTCTAGAGTGTGTTTTGAGCCATTGTGACAGGAGAGCAACCCGTGATCATAATCTTTCGCTTCTGAAATCCCAATACAACCCACAGTTTATAGTCCAAAAAAAAAAACCGATGCTGCCTTTGGTCTGTAACATTTAAGTAAAAACACACTGCAGAGCCCAGGTTCAGCATCTGCTGAATGCAGTGCTGTGCATTTTACACAAATCCTGGAGCTCAGACCTGACAATAAGCCCATTGACAAAACTGTGCTTTGGTTGGCCGGTCAGTTAGGTGGCTTCATCAATGAGTTGCAGAAGCATTGCCATCAGAGGAAATGGACCACGGCTACCATAGCGATTAAGGAACCGGGCATGTGACCAGAAACCCGCTGGTTTGAGCCCAAGCCTGTCTGCTCTGCCCTGAAGAAAGGCGTTTAACCAGGGTTTTTTTCCAGAACCATACAAACCGTTGCAAGTATAAACATTGCAAGGTATGCGAGTTACCTTCGATAAAAGCTCAAGATAAATAAATGAATGAATGAGCCCTTACTCACAGCTAACAGCCAGAACCTACTAAATAGGACACCAGCTCTGAATAGGAGAGCTAAACTTCTTGATATGTTTCTGTTACAGAAAAGAGATTCATTTCCATGACACGTTACACTGATTTTTTCATTGATCAGTTTTACCGTGATTATTACTGAATCCCTGATATTCCTAAAGCGATATTAGGAAAATAGTTCAGGCCACAAAGATACTCTGTTGAGCTGAGATATCCAGCAGTTCTCTTGAGAAATAAGACATAACAGCAAGACTTTTCTTATGGGTTCCCCCTTCCTGTCCCATCAAACTGGTCTCCTGGAAGCACAGTTGATACTGGAGACAGACAGAGGAAAGAGTCCATTTGATACATGTCACCATATTTTTAGCAAAGAGACAGGAAAATGTTTTCAGGCCCTAATGGAACATGTCTTCCTGTGTACCAAGGATGCCCAGTGAGCTCACTGCAAGCTGGGCGATGCCATCGATCTTTGACAGGGATCCAAAGATGCCTTTAAAGCCAGAAAGGAACCTGAAAATCAGACTCTGCTCCTGATTATGGGATTGAAAATAAACTTTGCCCAACAGGAAATGGCATGGCCTGGAACAAACACACACTTCCTGTATTTTAGCCAATCAATGACCTCCCCATGGCAAAGAACATTACCGCTAATTATTAATAGCCAAGAGGCATTTCTCTTTTTAGCAAATGGTCGCTGGCAATTGTTCTGGGCTCTTCTTGGGATTTGGTTTAACAGGATTTGGCCTCTTGTTTAAATGTTGTTAACTGAAATACATTAGCTTGAATGGTTTCCTTCAGCCTCCATTCATCATTTTGGCAGAAAAACCGTGTTTATTCCACAACGTTGTAATCATTCCATGAAAAAAAGATTTAAAAATGACCCTAAAAATTGAAATTACTGAATGTATACTTACACCACAGAGGCCAATTTCTGATTACTGTATAATAAGACACTGGTTGTACAGCAGAGCTTCAACATAAAATTAGCATAATAGAAATTAAAACAGCGTAAGGACAGAGTTGGCCAGTGAAGGCTCCTCATCTCCTGTTTCGCTATCAAAGCTCAAGATTAAAGGTGTTTGACCCAGGAAGGGACTGTTTAGTCAGTACACAAACTGTGCCCTGTCTGTTTAACCTTAAAGTGGGAAAACTTCATTTTGCTTTGAAGATGCATTTGCGCAGGTATCTCGGAGATAACGCACAGCATACAAGCGAAAAACAAAAATGGGCATTTTGACAAGGTTATTTATACCCAAAAGATCCATTAGGAAAGGTCATTGACTTAATGATTAATCGCTATCCATCTAGCCGCTGACACACCTCCCCCCACCCACCAGGCTTAATGCAATAGA